GCTGAAAGATCACCCCTGCATACCTTTAAATTCAATGCCTCTTTTAGAATTATTAGGTTGTCCGGAAAGTTCTGCAGGTTTTGTGTTACTATTTTTTGAACATTCATTGCTGATTAAAAACTCATTCTCCCTTGCGTCTCAGTAGTACATCCTGAAGATTCTTTGCGCTATCTGATGGTATAACTGCCGTTTCACCATTGCTTGATGACCCCCTTTTTTCAAGATTTTTTCAAGCATGTGAAAAGAGCACTTCGGACGATTTTTTTCTTCGACTATAAATTGGGGCAATCCGCAATCGAAACAGCTCAACAAATTAACCAGGTGTGGGGCCCAATAGTGCTAGAGAAAGCACTGTGCGGCAATGGCTCAACAAATTTCGTTCTGGAGATTTCAGCCTTGAAGGTGAACCTCATAGCGGTCGACCTAAAGCAATATCTGACGAGGATTTTAGGGGGATTTTGGAGGCTGACCCATCCCAAACAGTTCGAGAGATAGCAGAAGAGCTAGGCCTTGGCAAATCCACTGTTGCAGATGGTCTGGAACGCATTGGGAAGGTGAAAAAACTCGACAATTGGGTGCCCCACAATCGGAGTGACCGGCAGGAATCGGCACGTCTCGAGGTTCTGCATTGCTTTTGCGCAGCAGAAACGACCTGTTTTTGGGCCGAATTGTCACCTGTGATGAAAAATGGGTCATGTATGATAACAGGAGACGTTCCGGACAGTGGTTGGATTTCGACGAACCACCGAGGTAATTTTCAAAGCCGAACCCTCACGAAAAAAAGATTCTGGTCACGGCTTGGTGGTCATCGGCTGGTGTGATCCACTATAACTTTTTATCACCAGGCCAAACCATCACAGCAGAACCCTACTGTGAAGAAATCGAATGTACCGAAAATTTTGTCAGATGCAGCCAACACTTATCAAAAGAAAGGGTCCGATTCCTTTGCATGACAACGCCCGCCCACACGTTTCACAAATCACTATCCATAAATTGAACGAATTGGGGGTTGAAGTTCTACCTCAACCGCCATATTCTTCAGACCTTTCGCCAACCGACTATCACCTTTTCTAACATTTTCAGAACTCCCTTGCTGGAAAATACTTCATCAATCAGGACCAGGCAAAAAAGCCTTAGTGGATTTCGTGAATTTTCGACCACCCAGTTTTTTTTACTTTGATGGGATTTCTCGACTGCTGTCACATTGGCAAAAGTGTGCTGATTCGAATGGTGCCTATTTCGATTAAATCCGATGAGTATTAAAAAAGTTACGATCGTTTAAAGTGAAACACCCAAAACGCTGAGAACTTTCCGGACAACCTAATATTATATTATCGTGGCGTGAGGCACCTAATTCGTTTATTGCTTTAAAGAAGGCTCACAGTGGAAGCTGCACTCATTACCTGCCTTCAACAACGCAATTAAGTTACTAAAATTTATACTGGCATATTATCTACGATGACATGTAAAGTAACATATTTGACATACAAACATACTACTACGCGATACATGGCACATAGCGAATAACATACGAACAAGAGAGAAAGGCACAATGAAGCAGGTCTTGATAGTGAGGCATCGCCCTTAGGAAAGCTGGACGAAATAGAATGCGCAGTCTCGACCCGTGCAGCGGGATGTCTCCTCGATACAGCTGACTGTCGCTCCGCCTTGAAAAGGCACTAGTCATCATGGAGCAAAGTCAACCACGCTACTCACTACCGATCTTACATTATATCCACTATTTTCGGCGCGGATAACTTCCGAGGAGGGGCTACTGATTCGCTGCGATCACAAATATGGCATGCGTTCCGAGGCTGCTGCGTATCGCCAGAACGGGCCCAACGCCCATGTTGACAGTCGTAACTTCCTGCTACGAAGTGGCAGATAGTGCAGAAATTAATGCCGTTTCGTTAACAGGAGTCCCTCTGAAAGTCTCTAATGCAAATCATCATTTGAGTCTTTCAGAGATCGTTTAACGAATGTGCATTAATTTTTTCCGCGAGAGCGCTATATAGCGCTCTGCAGAGGCTAAGCAAGGCAGGGGGAGTGATCTCCTCCCCCTACCCTTCCCAGATCCCAGCCGTAGCAGAGCGCAGGCGAATGGAATGGCCTTAGCGAGAGAGGCGCTGGAAAATGAGAGAGCGAGAGAGGACGCCAAATGAGCGAGAGAGAATGAAGGAGAAGATGGGCGCCGGAGAGCGCGCGCGTAGAGCGAGCGAGCGCAATCCGCGTCATATCGAGCGAGGTGCGCGCGTGAGCGCGATTACAGACGCCGGCTCTGTTTGTAAGGTAGAGGAGTGTGTGCCATACTGATAAAGGGGTCTTGTCAAGAGCGCGCGGCAGAGTTCAAGGAGAGAATACTTGTCAGTATGCTAGAGAGAGAGAGAGAGAGGCGAGCGAGCCTGAGGAACTGGAGTACCATTCACTCAATGAGGGCCTTTATCGCGTCGAGACGGGCAATTACGAGTATCGGTAGGTTCTATACTCCACCTTATAGAGAGCCTGAAATGCCTAACTGCTCCTCTTGTTCTCTATGGTCGATGTTATAAGTAATAAAATCCGCCCTCAAATCCCCCTTCACGAGAACCCTTACACACAATTACCAAGTTTTAGTCTTCACGGGTTCCAAGGTACTGCTTCAAGGTGTTGAAGAGGTGCTTCCAGGGGTATAGTTAGTGAATTTCTAGCATTCATCCGTAATACTGCTGTAAATTCGTTATACGAACAGTCAACCAGTGTTCTTGGCTAAAATTTTGGGCGCAGCTCGGCGACGGGGAAGGGGCCTTTGCACTTTTGCTGCTTCGTTAGTCCCGGTTTACGGGTCTCGCTCTGGTGAAACCTGTGAACCCTTATGAACCTGGAGTAGTTCGTGGAGCCACCATAGTAAAACCTGTCAACTCTTGTAAGCTCATGAAATGGCTCTCTTGATGGCCCGACACGTCGATAGGAAGTAGCAAAAGTGCAAAATGCCCCCCCCCCTCCCGTCGCCGGACTGTCCCGAATTTCTGATGCACACAAGTAGCAGCACGCACTGTCCAGACTTGGTTGTCCCTCAGTTCTTACTAGCTTTTCACTTCATACTCCCAGTGTTTAAACTAAACTAAAAGCGCAGTCCGCAGTGATCATATGGGCGGGGAAAATCAATCGTTGTGCCCTGCCTAATACTCTTCGCATCCTCCTCTTCACCACTCCTAGAGGAAAGGCGTTCCAGCAACAAGAGCGCATTGGTTGACTGTCCCCGCCCATGCGATGATTGTGGACAGTGGCTTTTAACATGATTCAGTTTGATGCTGCGTTGCCGTCAAGAAACAAGGCAAAAGTTTGTGCAGATGCGGAACGATGTGATGATAAAGATTGAGCTGCTAGATCAAAAACATGGTGAGTTGCTGAAGAAGTTTTTTGGATCGTTCAGAGGAGGTTACCAGTAATTCAGTGAGGGATATCGCCCAACATCTTGCGAACATGGCAACGGCTATGAAGGACTGTTTGGCAGAATGTTCCGCTGCATTGCAAAACACGCAAAACACGCCCATTGAGATCGACATCATTCAAGCAAGTCACCTAAAGCAGGCTTTACGTTTCCTGATTCAAACAAGTCTTTTTTAGGATGGGAAAGAGGCGAGTATGTACCATGATAGCTCTCCTACGAATAACAACACGACGGAAGATCACAGTCCTCCGTCAAGGACAACGGATGAACCGCTGATCAGCATGTCTGTACCCGATGATGA